CGTACGCATATGTTTTGCTTTACTTTTGTATCTTCGGTTTCGAACACATTGCTCAATAAACACAGGAACACAAAATATGATATTCGCTCCTTGATGTATTGGTTTGACGGAGGATTTTATGGATTCAGTGCAACAGCTGAAATTGGGTGGTTAATATTTAGCAGAGAACCTTCTACTGGGACGAAAACATTGCAGCTACGGCTTTCATTTACACCCGTATTTCGTATGTGAGTTATGTTCACTAATATTCCATAGTAAATGTTGAAAGGTTTGTGTGTTTAGATTGGAACCTCAAGCTCTAACTGTTTCACTGATCCGATAATAAAAATCTCTCAGAATCGCTTCACGGATTGTCTAATCAAGGGTAAATAACATTCCAAAAAGTGCCAAGCCTGACGTAGTTTGAATTATCTAATACTAGCACAATCCGTAACAAATATCTCATCGCGATTTGCATTTTACATCATAACTTTTAATTTCGCTACGATTTCGACTATCCCATGAGGTATTGTTCACGATGTGTACTTTCTAACCTATTCTTATTAATACGAACGATTACTTTGGTAAGGTTTCATTTATTTTGTATGATCTTACGAGATGTCACACTACATAAACAACACGAGAGGTTGTTTAAGTATAGATATTTATCAGTTGGTGACTTCGAAGCAAACTAAGAAGCTGTTAGGCTTTGAGGCGGTAAGTTACGCAAAGGCTAGAAATGTATAAATTACTATAAACTATTATTGTGAATGTCATTGTACTGATTTTTCGACATATTTATTATATATTAGCCCTGAACTCTGTTTGCTTTGGTTTCTATTTTGCTTTAATTAGATGTTTTGGATCTTTGGCTCTGGCAACCCAAAATGAAAGATTTATCCCGGAAATTGTTGTTAGAATTATTGTTCAGGACAGAGCACCCCGAATTTGCAAATGAATCTGATTGTTTAGAACTTGGAACATTGTTTTTTGTCGTTTGGTCGAAGGTTGGGAAATTGTCAATAAACTGTTCTTCATGAAAAGACTGAGTAGGAATTACGGATTCAACACTATGGTCACTATTTGTTAACTGGTCTGTGCCAGCAGACTGACAAACTTCTTATATAGTAGTTGTGATGTAACCCCCTAAACTATACAGTCCTACGACAGTCAGATCATTATCTATGCTGACTCTCACTTTACTGACATACAGAGGTAATTTTCATAGGAACCTTTAAAAAACATGCTGAAGTTTATCGATAGAAAAATATGTACTCACTATAAAGAAGAGAAAGTCACATTGACAACGTTCGCATGTCGAAGCTATGTCGCGTCGATAACCTTCCCGAGTCAGCCTTGTCACCTCAACTACAGCGTCCAAACTTCATCCAGATAACGCGGAAACAGACCATCTTGATGGCTGACTTGTGATGATAATTTAATGTTGTTCCTACGAAGTGGTGCCATTGTTGTCTAAATCTAATAGACCCATCATCCACATTTGTGATCTAAACATGTTTTCGAGCTTCCACTAACTCACAAAGCGAGGAAGCTGAGTGAACATTTGCTCAGGATAAAATATATTGATGGAAATTCTGAGGTCCGATAGCTTCCAGACTATAAAAGTTACTTGTCAGTTACAATTGAGCGATAAAGTCTGCAATCATTATCGATAAAGTTGGTACTTATTTTAGGTATTCTCCCCAATCACATGCAAAATTCATTTTGAATGTTTTGTGTGTGAAAATCCCTCCATGTGTACATTTGCAGTTGGTTCCTATTGATTCCTTTAGTTGTACATTTTGTTACTCTTTTTGATTTAGTTTGAGTTGATAATATTCGTATTTTATTATAGTTTTTATTTTTGTTACGCCTTCACTAAGTTTCCATGTTTCTTCCTGAACTGCATTTATGTTGTCTTACTTGATAGTTAGTCTTGGCGGCAGCCATATTGGTCTGTCCCTCCTTTTGATTGTGTTGCTTGTGTTGACTGGAATTGTGCATTTCTTGATTGTGAATTGAAGCACTCTTCCAGAATTGGAATTGCTATAAAGCAACCAAATATTATCTTTTGAACGAATCTGCGCGTGGTCTATCAAGACAGGATAGAATAACATTTATTTGTTATGGTTGGTAGTTTTCTCACATCCTTTATCAACTTTCTTATTTACTGTAATTTAGATTTGATTAATTATTGGTTGGATAGCTGGATGGTAACGATGTACATTTAAATTTATGACGAATTTCAGAACCCTCATTTAACTCAGTCACTTTGTTTGGTTTCAACCGGGTAAGAGCGTGTATCTAACCCACCTAGACAGCCATTCTTCACCATAATATACGTAAGCATCAGAAACAGAGGTTGATGCAACTAGATTCGAAAATATTTGACATGGGCACACTAAGTGATCAAATTCATAAATGAATAATTACATTCAATGACGGATTTCAGTTGACAGTCCCCGTCGGACAGTAAAAATCACTAAAACAACATGAATATTTCACGACATTGATTGTCTGTCACCCAAACAGTTTATTTATGTATATATATAAACCATAGTCATCCTACCATTTTACTTAGTTCATTATGTGATGTCTTGTAGATATCTGCAGGGGTGACTCGAATAGACTGTCTGTGTTCCACAACAGGAGTCTGATCGTATGTAAAGCAAACAGATGCTTATAAAAGTCCCTAAAATGAGAAAAGAGCGAAAGATATGGAATCAAGTCTGAATTCCGAAGTCAGGGACCTTATATCAGTAAATTTCCTTCGTAATGAGACTTAGGAAGGTAGTAGAGGGACCTAAAAATGGTTTTCAAGAGTAACTTGACTATTCTTATCCCAGACAATACAACTTAATTCAAATACACAGCTTACGTTGGTTCAGATATAAGTCCTCAATCTTCGTCTGCAATCATAAAGTAAACGACGAGGGAGAAATAAGGTGTCTTCACATCGTACAGAGATGACCTTCATCTGGTCCGACCAGATGAAGGATCCTCTGTATATTTTTCTGATTTATTAACGATAAAAATCTCTCCTAGCTTTACCTGTATCCCTTTTCTGAATACAGTCTGAGTACCTTAGCGGGACATGGTGAATTTGGTGGAAATTTAGATGAGGTGCTACTCTAGAGGTTAATTTCATCTATATCTGACTCCAATAAATATCATCCCGTTGATTGAGTGTTTACGCAGGCTAAATTTACCAGGTTTATGAATTTACTTGAGATTACTCTAGAGCCAGAACACCAGTTGTAGATTTAATTTATTGTTAATGATTAGTATAAATCCATAAGCGCACAAAAATCAAGCACAGTGGGAGACCAGTGAGAGAGAGAAAGAGTGAAGGGCGACGCGAGACAAACCGGAGAAACCATGTGAACCAACTTAATTTGACCAAATGTGAACCGATACTTATAGTCAAACAAACGTTAGCCACAGATATATGATGAGTCAGATAATAAATGCACATGCGTACGCTCACATAAAAATAGTCAAAGTTGCTTAGCGAATAACTAACAACGTCAAAATGTGACAAAAGAAGAGTGAATGAATTGGCCTGTCCAGAATTTAGAATAACCTATGTGGTCTTGACATAACAACCAACATTGCACAACCATGATAACCCACTTCCCCAAAGTTGTTTATTGTGTGCTTAAACATGTTAGCAGAGTGCAGTATGCTTACAGTCTAATCAAAAAGCGCCTTAGTATGCCCTGTTATAGGAGTATATATTTTAAAAATTGCCGAAAATAACTGCATCTTGAACTGGAACTACGTAAGCAATGTTTTTCAGATAATTGTTCGTGAAATATTATTGAACGACACGAGTATAAACTTTATAGCCAAAGTAAGCTTGCTTTAGCGCACGATGTACTGAGTACAACCCCTCTATTACTGCTATGTGGCATATTTTTCATAACAAACCCTCTACAATAGATTGGTAGCATCTGTGATTTCGTCTATGGTTGTCGGAAGTCTAGGTCCTTTCTAAAACAATACTGATATACCCTACTGCTTGACACTCAGTATTAGTTTGACTTGTTGGTGGGATAGTGTTGTCCATAATACTGAAGAAAATTAAAAACCGGAGATCTTTTTCCTTCATTTTTCCGATGACATCACAAATGACAGTTAGGAACGAAAATGTGGACAGTTAGAGTCACAGGCGGCAGCAACAATTATTTTGGCTAAAAAAACGAACTTCGTCTTTGGATATCTAAAAAACAAGTCAAAACAAAACCAATTATCGTTTTAAAACATAAGACCAGCCAGCTTGGCTGAAGAAATACATTGACTTCAGTAGCAGTAGCAAAAACCAAGAAAACAAAGCTAAATCAGAAAAAATTCGCTCCAACATTTAGAGCATTACATTAACTTCTGCATTTTAGCACACTGAAAAAATAAATTATGTAGCTACACAAAAGAAATAGCGGAAAACGCACAGAACGAAGAAAGCCGGCTGCCACTGCATACAAAGATGGCGGATATAATAATTCCCTCTTCATTCTGATTAGTCGCTGAGCAGACTGCCACGTTTACGAAATCGAGTTGCGTTTAATAGCAACCAAGAATTTAGAACAAGCTTCATTTTATTTCATGCTACCCGACCGGAAGCAGGCACATTTGTAATGGAGGATCCAAAACCCAGCGAAACTAAACTTCATAAATGAGGGAGATTATAGATGTGTCGTGAAGCATACTATCTATGCTGACTAGGTGTTGCGAGGATTATGTAGTACGTCGTACCCAGTAGTGATATGATGCGAATGTTTGGCTGAGCTCCTCCAGTTGAAGCGTGTTGAGTATAACTAATGGGATCAATCCAAATGCCGAAATATTTAAGAACTGTTGCTTTGGAGCGTCCAGTTATCACCTTTAGTCCAATCAACTTCACTGAGAAAACTTTGAGCCCTTTGACATCAATTTAATTAAAAAATCATTGTACCAAGCTGAAATTATTCAAAAGAAGGTTTTAATAAATGAGAGACTCATTGGTTTATTTTTCAGATGTGAGTGTTTGTTTGAACCATCCTTAAGGTCATTGAGCGCCAACATATTCCCTGCAAGTATGCCTCACGGGAATCACCGCAATAAGTCTAATCACTATCGGTGGAGAAGTCGTAAGTACTTGGGGTTTCTCATATGTTTTACAAACATACGCGATAGTTTGGCCTATGTGTGATTATTTGTATATGGACAGCTGTATATGTGCTCTCCTATAGGAGAGGCTGAATTTCCATAATTTTGGAGTTATTTATTCAAAACTTACAGAGTTTATACTCTGTTGAACGCTGATGCATTACTTTCTAGACACATTCAGTAGAGTTATTCTCAATAAAACTGATTAGACTCGTTCTCCGTCCGAATTTATTGACTGATGTGCTATTCAGATTTGTGTAGTAAGAACAGAAGGCATACGGCCTATTTTATTCCTTTTCTAGTATGATTCTGTTAGTGTCCAGTCTTCTATTGAAAGAGTCAATTAAAGGTGCAGACACCACTGCTTCGGGCAGCAGGTTCCAAGTATTGATGACTCGGTATGAAGACCTGTATGCCGCGGGTATTTTGTTCGTTCTTGACTTTTCTACTCGCCTGCTATGTCCTCTGAGACGTCACGATCTAGTGGGAAGAAAAAGGGAGAATAAGTTAGGTCCGAAATCATGTCTGAGTATTCTGTACATCAAAACTAGGTCTCCCCTTAGTCTGCGATGAGACAGTAAAGAGGTCCAGCTTTTCAAGCCGCTCTTTGTATGATAAACCTCGGAGTTCTGGAATTGCATGGGTAGCTGCCCCTTGTACTTTTTCCAGGATATCCGAGTCACCTTTTGAACAGAGGCTTGCAGCCTGAACGCAGTTCTCTAGCTTAGTCCTCACTAAGGATGTGTATACTGTGGTAAACATGGTAGTGTCTAACTTAGTGAATGTCCGTTTTAAAGTTCAGAGGGTTTGAAATCCCTTAGCTGCGACCTCCCGGCAATGGGCCGTCGTCTTAAGATCACGACTTACTGTCACCCCTAGATCCTTATGAGACCGAACTACTGGTAATGGCACATCCCCTATGTTGTAACTATTAACCTTTGAATCCTCAAAGTGCACGTAGACACTTTTCCGCGTTGATAGGCATCAGCCACTCTTTAGAACAGTTTGTCATGTTATTTAAGTCTGCCTGAAGAGCACATGCGTCTGTCTTCAGTTATTACTCGCTAAACTTACATCGTCAGCGTATAATAACATTGGAGACTGTACTATACTTGGGAGATCATTAACATACATTATAAAAAGTAAAGGACCTAGGACTGAACCTTGGGGTACTCCACTAAGTACTGGTCTCCAGATGGAGCACTTGGAATTTATTCTTACTTTTTGTCTACGACCTACTAGGAAATCCTTAATCCATTTTAAAAGAGGTCGGGCAATACCAAGGTTTTCCAACTTCAATAGCGGCCTATTAGTTGGCACCTTGTCAAAAGCCTTACTGAAATCTATGTGGAAGACATCTACTGAGTTTCCGTTGTCTAGCGCATTAATCCAGAACTCCCTTGCTATAAGAAGGTTCGTCGTACAGGATAGACCCTTTCTAAAACCTTGTTGTTCCATGTTTAGCAAGTTATTGGTTTCCATAAATGCCATTATGGTCCGTTTGACTATTCTTTCCATTACTTTAACCACAACACTGGTGAGGCTTACATGTCTGTAATTCGATGGAACTTGTCGTGGACCTGTTTTGTGCATGGGAGTGACGATTGCGTCCTTCCAGTCCATAAGTAGCACTCCTTGATCAAGTGACATGTTGAATATCACAGTCAGTGGGGCCGCGATATATTGTGCAATATGTCTCAATATTTTGGGGTGTAGTTCATCTGGTCCTGTTGACTTTTCCATATTTAAAGTGCTAAGAGCCTTAAGCACATCATCTTGATCGAAGTCCACGGTGAGCAGGTGGTTTGTTGACTTTATTTTGGTCTGGTTCTTCTTCTAGAGGAGGTTCCTGTGTGAAAACTGTCCCAAAATAGTCAGTCATAGCCTCTGCTTTTTCCTGATGTTCCTCTATCATTTCAGATTCACTTCCCTCTTTAATTAGGTTGGGAATCCAATGATGCATCCTTGTTCTGTAGTTTATGTACGAGAATATTCTCTTGGGCTGCTTGAGTGCATTGTGCCAACTGCATTTCATATTTTCTTTGAGCTTCACGAATTTTTGTTATACATTTGTTTCTTACCGATCTGTAGCGTTCCATCGTACCTGCTGTGCCAAGGCGGATAGCAACGTCCCAACATTTCTTCTTTCGTCTTAGTAAACGTCGAATATCCCGGCCTATCCAGGGATGGCCGTGCTTCTTCTTTGGAACTGTCCAGGGTATGTATGGTTGAGTTACCCGATTGTATAACTGCCTGAAAAGAGTCCATGCCTCTTGTACTGATGCCTTAGAGTCAAGTTCCCAGTTTTCAGCCGATGCTGCGGAGTTGATTGCCTCCATGTCTTCCTTCCATATGTTAGGACGGGCCGGCGCGACTGTTTGACAGGCAATCTCAGCCATGAATTTGAATAAGATGACTGCATGGTCACTTCTCCCTAGTGACTTCTGATTTCCTCATTTGTACTTAGTCATTTTTGGTAGATGCGTCCCACTAAATATCATTTTATTTGTTCAACCTAAGTGCTTGGATGATGTGGCTTTAATTATCAATAACTCTCAGCCTTCTAACTACTCGAGATAACAATACACTTGTTCAGGATGTGTTTTTGAAACAACCGACTGTCAGTGACTTCTAAATATCACTTTTTGTCCGAGGGTTATTTTAAAATAGTTTAGTTCCTCAGCTCCACAGGATAAACCCGTGATTATGGAACACTCATGTATAGTGTTAATTTCGTGGTTACATATTTCGTTTTTGGTTTTTAGATGGAGAAAATGATCGACGTATTGATACCTCTGACGAATATTTACGACGACGCGAACATGGAGGGAAGTTCAGTAGTGGTCGCAAGTCCATAATTTCTGGTAACAATGTGGATATGTTAAAACGTGCTATGAATATGAATGTAAGTCTGAGAAGTATGTATCGCTACATGGGTTTCGACAAAAAAATATTTCAAGAGGTCTTTGTTAACAAGCAACGCTGGTTTATGCAGTCAAATCTAGATAGTACCTGTCTTGACATTTTTATCATTCCCCTAAAACTATTCTAATACACATTTGGCATTTTATGGTCTTAATTAATTTTTTGATTAACTTTACATTAGGACAGTAGCTAACTGCAAACGTGCTTTCTTTACGACTTAAAAATAAAAATACAAAGTAGTGCGACTGGAAGTTGATCAAGTGTCAAAAAAGAAGAAAGTGTTTATACAAACCTTTTGAACGAAAAGTTATGTTTATCTACATGAATTTTTCTGGCTTCCACTGTATATAAAAACCAAGGTTTTCAATCACAGGATAGGCTGGATAAGATTAAAAAGACTTGAAAAGCTACCTTAACACCAATTTTAGTATCCAGTGTTGTGTTCTAGGATGTCCTCTGTTTTTTACTCACTCATGAAGGGTGACGTCTAAAAGTGCAACGGATCAGTATCTTAGTTGTATATCCAATGTAGTTGACAGAGCTACAGTCGGACTAGTAAACACATGTATAGGTGGAACTCCGCCGCTTATTAATTTACTCATTGAAAACGAAAACAATCCTATATTGTTTGTAAAATTAATTATAGGGTTACGCAATGCTTGTTCTTATTTTTAGCTTATCGGTGGATCACCAGCTTCTGTCGTCACTGCCCAAAATAGTGGCTTGGCTCCTGGCGAAGTTTGGGTGAGAATTACTATTGTCCATGGCGCTAATCATCCGATGATGGATCTTCAACAGTTGGTCACCACCATTGTTGGGACACAGCTACGGTTCTATAATACTTGCGTTGAAGGAAGAAATGCACTAATGCATGCAAAAATCAGACAAAAGGATGTAAGTACTCCTGTAATTTACATAATTCAGATTAAATCGGTCCGTTATCTTTATACCACATTCAGTAAATACACCTGTTCAAGTCTTTACATCTAACAATAAAAATAACCGATGTCATGAAAAAGTTAGTATATTTGGATAAGTTGAGGTCTTTTAATCTTCAGACCAAGGTAATAAATGTTACTGCTTGCATGTCAGATAATCGTCCCGAACTTTTGATGTATTTAATTATCTGCATCCACCTTGCTTGACTAGTTATTACGATAGTTAAGGTTGTCTCCTTAGTGTTGACGTCGATTTACGTACCGTTAAGTCACAATTTTAACTCCTGTTCTACTTTCGATCGAGTACTCACTTTGTCCCCAACTTATATCCAGTATAGTCTAAGGCTTAAAATACAGGTCTGTACCTATTATTTCTTTTCACATCTTCGAAATATCTAATCATACAACTACTGAATTTAAACAAAGTGATATTTTCTGTCTTTTTATTAAAAATAAGTAACAACTATCTGTTTTTTTAGGTTCAAAGTTACCGCAAATCACTCCAAAATTTACGCGATCCAAGTCAGGGTTCACAATTAATTACCGACATAACAATTGTCCCCGAGCCCAGAGTCCCTTCTTCGTCTGATAAAAGAAATGAATCACCGAATACCTCTCCTCTGCCAGAAACTTGGATTGAAGCATTAAAGCAGTGCTTTGTTCAGCGTTATCAACCTACTACGCGTAGTTTAGATCTCTCTTCTCTGCACACGGATCCAGTTCTTTTAAGTCAGGGACTATATTTACCTCTTAACAAACAAGCGGTGGTTCATACTTTGATTACTATCCTGAAACAAAACCAAGCACAGGTAACTGTTTTATCGGTTTACAACTTCCAAAGTATGTTTTCCTCACAAAAAGATTTTCTATTTAAGACCACTTAAAATATCCACTCTCAAAAAGCTAAAATCACGAATGACCAACGATAGTTGTAAGAGAGCGATGGCGATAAGTAGTCAATGAAATTTTTAACACCTCAGATCCACTTACAACTACACAATCTGTTAACTTAACACACTTGTTAGATTTAGTTCCGTGGTATTGTATGGCGTTCCATACGATAGTCGAATGTCAGACTTTTTACATCCGATTTTCGTTTGTCATATTCACTAATTAGGAAGAAAGGACCCTAAATCATGAAAAACAGTAAAACTGACTGCCGTTTTCTTTATCTTTGGAAGGTTGTAAAGCGCTGAAGTGTTTCTGTGACTTGGATAATAAAATCGTGACTTCATTGTCATTCATTTTCGTTGGCAGATAAAGCCTACTTGATCGGGGTTCGCACGTGACTTATGGTTGAAAAAATTAATTGGCATAACTCAAAGTCGGTCACAGTTGTACATGTCAATCTATTCTCATGACTCGTTCTCTCGCCACGAATGTAGTCTTTTTTACTACTACTTTTGGTACTTGATAATTCCTCTTACTGTGTTAATGGGGTAGGGATATTTGAGTCAATCAAATCCATGCCAAATTATGCGTTGCTTTTGACTGATTGCTTTTTTAGCAGTATATAGATTGGATCAAAGCATGTTCCGTGCAGGATTGTGTCAGAGCACGTCGGTTGGCCATTTCTTAGCCGATCAGCGCCGGTGGATACTTGGGGAAGACTCTAGAATCTTGTGTAAAATTTATATATATATATATATATATCAACGTTTTCCTTATTATTATTCCTATTCCCACTCAGCTTTGTTTATTTGGAATATAATTTCGTTTCTTTTCAATCATGTTTTGATTTTGGAACATGCTGAAGAATACTAAACAATAAAAGTAGCTGGGTCATAGTAAGAGATCATAACAGCTTTTTTATGTAATCGGATTATTTAAACATATAAAATTAGTTGTTTGTGTATTCTATGAATAAACATGTTGCTCATTTATTAAAAAGCAATTGATTAGAAGAATTCACATACGTTAGGTAGCGAAACAATAAACAAGGAAAACCACTTCAGTTCAGGTGCATTGTTTAACGGGTGATAAACAAAAGTATCTGTTAAATGAGAATTAGTCCACATTTTTACGCTCTTAGGTGAATGGTTTGGGCATTAGTAATTATGAAGAACACGCCATATACAATGTGTAAAAATCCAATTTGTTTTGAAACCGTTAAAAATAACTAAATACAATTTTCTGCTTTATTTTCTTTCTAAAGCTTGCTGTTCTCAATCTATCAAACAACCGACTAACTCATTTGAATGCTTTTTCTCCGTTATCTTCAACGAGTGCTGGGTTTATTCCAGTGTCCATTGAACGTATAGATCTCAGCTCAAATCCTCTAAGTAGCATACCTGTCCTTTCTGGTCTTCGAGATATCGTTGGTTTGGTTGAATTAGACCTTACAGAAACTCCTTTGATGTCAAAATTCAATCCAAACGACAAATCTTTTGCAGCGTGAGTGTACATCTTCGCCCTAATGGTCTCGTCCACTTGTCTGCGACCATTGGCCTTCGCTTCGGTGGTTAGTCAGTTTCGCAGCCTGTGGTGTCATCTTCCGAAAATTTCAAGGATGTTAATTGTCACCATTTTTGTTTTATTAAGTATTTTTGATTTTCGATTGCATTTAGTTTTGACTGTTAAAAAATCAAGTAAATAGGGTCCTATCCTTAGGATGTAAATGAGGATTTAAGTTCGATGAAAATTGATGACCACGTGTAAAAATAAAGTCCCCCATCGAAAATCAAACACAACTTAGAATTTCGACGATATCAATCAGCTACTGATCTTCGAGATTTCTAACAGTTTTGAGACAGTTATAATATAAATTACTCGAGAAGGTAAATATCGTAGATTTCAGTTGATTTTTCTGCACACACAAAACTTCCAATCGTTTTTTGCCAAAACGATATTGAAACATTTTTCATATCATTAAACGTAGGACAAGCTCTACAGTTTTCCAAGTATTACTGGTCGTTAAAACACGTAATATATGTGCATTTCGATATATACCTGATTGCCCACATTTTGTGACCTCTTGAAGAAATGGTTTTCAATTTTCTTTTGTTGCTCGATTTCGGGGTTTTTTGGAATCACTGCACTGGCTCAGTAAATTGCATACAATCTTACCAACGATCAAACGTTTAGTAAGTGATTGTAGATAAAATTTACCTAACTTTATATTGTGTTATATTTAACCTAAAGTATGTATAGTACATTCAACACACGTATATATATATATATATATATATATATATATATATATATATATAAAGAGAGAGGATTTTATCATATCAAATAATGGTACTAACTCAAATTATGACGACCGAAACCAGCTGTTCAGTTGTCTTATTAACAGTCCAAACATTTTCATCAAATACTAACTGAATAACAGTTTTAATTTAATTTACCGCGGCTACTGATACTGTGGTGCATGCTACTTATGCTGACAGATGTTAGTATATAATACTAATCGAAAGTAGAATGACGGGGAGCAGAAAATTGAATTGAAAACAACATGAAGGGAATAGAAAGCAAGTGTAATAACAACAGATTTGGAAAAATCATGAAGCACATGCAGGACAACTGAAGGCAGATGTGCAAATAATGTATTTTATAAAGGCGCACTAATTTCACACTTTGCAACAACAATACGACCAGTGGGTCTGTTTAAAAACGATGGATCACCGATTATAATTCCAGTCCATTTACCAAAGCTTCATTTCTGAATAGTAACTAAGTAGTATCACTAAACCTCACAATTAGAGTGTAGCTGGGTAGTCGAGTATACGAGTGTCTAACAAATGACTTATTCATTTTACTATATGTGTTTGTCAACCGAGAGTTAAACTTGTAGTAAGTCGGTATCTATTACTAATTTCTTAGTATTTTGATCATAGCCGCCAGCGAAAAGTTATTCTCTTTGTAGAAAACATTAGAATTGTCACACCGAACCATGCCTGAGAATATGGACGATTGTCATGTGTTTTCAAAATAAGAAACAAATTTCCCCACTGGTCTTATGTTAGGTTTCTATTTTTCCTTGGCTATTTACGGATACATCTTTGACCGAATCTCTAGATTTCTTGATTTTATTTTAGTCAACATTAAAGACACCTTTCTACTCATTGTTCATATTTTATGAATAATGTATTACACTCTGTTACAGAATGGACAAGAATTACCGCAGACTGTACAGTTTGCAATTGAGCAAGGTTCGGATTCCTCTAAACGGCCTCCAACGAAACCGCTTCCACAGTCTATTCTGGGATTTTTCCCTAATGATGAAGTTAAAATAGCTTTGCTGAGTTTTTTGAAATTGTAAGTCCTTTTTAGGATTGCTTTTGTGATTGTTTAAATCCAAGAATAGTTACTCTCTGTATACCCTTTCCTTTAGATTCTCACAATCCTCAGTCTTGTCGATAGCAGTTTTATTTTATGGACACTTGTGCTGGATATATCCGACAGCATTATTCTCCAAGTTTTGTTTTTATCGACCTACGATTTCAGGCTCCGTTGTGTCACTTGGCTGAATTTTTAAAGCTCCCACTCACTTGCTCTAATACTCACTAGCTAAGTGGATTTTTGACAAGATAACAAAGGCATTGTATCTTTTTATTTACCCACTTCATAACAGTAACTGGTATGCATTTACAATCCATGCGTCCCTTGATCAGCTTAAAAATTTTTTATTTTTGCACGAATTTATCAGGCTCATCTATTCTTAAATCGTTCACATCCAGAAATTCTTCTATAACATGTGTTATTGTGCTAGTTTACACTAACAGTCTATTTACTCCCTTATTGATAATTGATACATGTCAACGAACACCTGGATTTAGTTTTACTAATTCCCTTCATCCAAGTAATTTTGCGCCGCTTTTTTAAGACTATGAAACTTCATTTATATGTGACGTCCAATACTTACATCATAAAACCATTTAATTTTAAGAAAAGTACCTGGTTGCTAGAAGTTTGATAGCGGTTACATATTTTGGTTTCGCCATTTACAAAGCCACTGTCACAGCTAACATTTTCACATTGTTCACAAGTAATTAAAGTTTCTGTGTCTTAAAATCTGTATATTTTGTTCTCTTTCTTGATTATACTCCTTTTTCGTGATTTCTGTGATCTAGATACCTTAGTCGCTATGATTCTAAGCCCCGAGGTGAAAGTTTACTGCCTTACTACACGACTGTTTCCCAACTGGTTTTTTCCGTGTCTCCTGAAAATCGTTTTCCAAATTCACAAAATGTGTCATTCACAGCACGCGTAGAGATACAAAATGGTTCTGATCAACCGACTACGGCATATCTTACCACTTCACGATTAAATCAAGCTTACTTTTTACGAAGTCGTAATCTTCTTCGCTGCCGGGACCAAAGTAGACGACGCGACATGGTTGTTCGTGGTAGTTTGGCTATCGCCCATTTTTTAGATGAGCTACCAACCACGGAACATCAATTAGAGTCTTTATCTGTAGATGTCGCCTTTCATTCCGTAAGTATAAATTATTTCTATCTCGTTTTAGTTACTATTGAGAATAGTGCGATAGATGTTTCCTAAATGTAAGATAATCACAAGTTAATTGTGCACAATATCACAATAAATCAAATCAATCGATACGTGTGCGACCGTTTTACTTTCTTTTATTAGTTAAGTACTTATATCTTGATAAATTATTTTCTTCACGCCTGTTACCCCTCGCCGAGTAGCATAGGCTGCCCACCAGCATTCTCCATAGAACTCTGTCCTGGACAATCCCTTCGCGTTGCTACTCATCCTTTTGATGTAGACTTCCGATTCTCGATACAGTGTGTTCTTCGGTCTTCCTCTTTTCTGTTTTCCTTCAGGATTGCTAGATAGTACTTGCTTCGTGATGAAGTTTGATGACTCCTGCAATGTATATCCTACCCACTTCTAACGTCTTTCCCCAATTTCCTCTTCAGATAGAAGCTGGTTTATTCTCTCCACAGTAGGTTGTTGCTGATAGTATCCGACCAACGGACATTGAGTATGTTGTGTAGACAATTGTTTGTAAATACTTGTACATCTTTGATGATGGTTGTGGTAGTTCTGGAAGATGAAGCTCTGAATAGTAGAACTGTCTTGACGTTCGTATTGAAGATTCCGACTTCGATGTTGGCTGATAGTCGTTTTGAGTTCCACATGTTATTCAACTGTATGAATGCTGTCCTTGTTTTGCCGATCGTTTCGTTTACATCTGAATCGGATCCTCCTTGTTCATCGACGATGCTGCTGACCAGTTACATGTAAGATTCTACCTATTCCAGAGTTTCTCCATCAAGTGTGATTGGATTGGTGTTCTTCGAGTTGTATTTGAGGATGTTGCTTTTTCCCTTGTGTATGTTGAGACCTACTGATGCAGAGGCTTCCATTACACTGGTTGTCTTGACCTTCATTTGTTTGTGTGTATGGGATGGGAGGACTATGTCATCTGTGAAGTCCGAATCGTCTATTTGCATGCAAGCTGTCCATTGTATTCCGTGCTTATTTTGAGATGTGGAGGTCTTCATAATCCAGTTAATCACTAGTAGAATGAAGAAGGGGAAGAGTAGGCAGTCTTGTCTGTCTCTGGTCCTCACTTGGAATAAGTCTGTCAGCTGTTCTACATGCATGACTTTGCAGTGTCATCTGTCGTATGAATTTCGTATAGTGCTGGCAATCTTCTCAGGCACACCATGGTGTGGGAGAAGGTTCCACAACGTCCTCCTCTCCACACTACCAAACTCCTTCTCTTAGTTAATGAAGTTGATGTGTATTGATGAATGCCATTCATGTGGAATCCAGCCTACTGCCCCCCTGAATGCCCTGGTACGGCCGAGAGTGGGGAGAGTCCGCTCTCCCTCTCGAAATACTCTCACACGGCCACGCGTATACAGCCTCTGCCAGGGAAGTCCTACTCATTGCCTTCTCGTGGCGGGGGTGTTGTTTACGAAAATTAGAGGACGAAAAGCGAATGTCCGGCGCTTTAACCAGATTCCAAATCAATGTTGCACATTGGCTCTAGTATCCTGCGGGAACGAATGGCGTATGAACCAATCGTTGGTAACCGGCTACCATGGGACTGCATCTCCTCACGATGCTCCACTGCCTTGTGGGCTAGACTTTTAGGTCAAAGGCTCAGGGAGTGGCCCCCTAAGATAACCACCTGCTTCGGTTTGGGCACCCGGGCAGTATCACAGCCCACACACAAATTGATGAACTCTTTATGCCTATGGAAATTACCTTTCTCGCTTTGAAAAACAAACAATTGATTCAGATTATTATCATTACAATTATTGTCATTATTAATACTAATATTGTTATTACTACTATTATTGTCATTATTGTTTTATTATTATTATTATTTTCCACATTATTCACCCTCTTTTATACTTATACAGCGGCTCGTCTTTGGTGGAAATCCGACTGTATCTAAACGTTCTCGAGTCACTGTCCGGTTGAAAATTGTATGTTACCACCGAATACGAGGACTGAAGCAGTTTTTCTGAAACCACGTGCAACATTCAAACTGGCTGCCTTCAACGTTCGCACACTTATGCAGGTTGGACAACAGATAGGGCTGGCTATGTCTTTGGAAAGTCTTAATATCGATGTCTGCTGTCTATCCGAGACCCGTATTCAAGACTCTGGCGAAGTACTACAAATTCGATCTCCATCTGTCGCTTCGAAAAGCTTGTTTTACGTGCGCTTATCCGGGGACCCTGTGGCATCTTCGTCTGGTCTTGCTGGCGTTGGTGTCGCACTAAGCGCTAGAGCTGAGGCACCACTAATCGATTGGATCCCCATTAACAGTCGGTTATGTGCTGTTAGATTAGAAAGTTCCATCAAAGTGAGAAGAAATCGGCGTGAGAAACGATGTCTTTTCGTCATCTCCGCCTATGCCCCGACAGATTGCAGCCCGGATGCAATCATGGATGAGTTTTACCACCAGTTATCAGTTCTTCTCCAGAAAGTGCGATATTGTAGTACTAGCCGGGGACTTGAATGCTCAGGTCGGGCGTCTAGGTGGCCGATGGGGACTCGTTAGTCGCAGGTCAGATAACGGGGACCGTCTACTGCAACTATGCACAGACCACAACCTGTTTCTGGCTAGCATTAACTTTCGGCACAGTCATTGCCGATGTGCCACCTGGCGTCCTCCCTCTCCATCCCAAGCCTGGACTCAGATTGATCACATCGCGATCAGCTACCGCTGGCATGGTTGTGTGCAAGACTGCCGCTCCTTTTGGAGTACCTATCTGGACTCTGATCATGCCATGGTCTTCGCTAATCTTACCTTACTTTTCAGTGGCCAACGAAGCGACCGTCACCAACGGATTGATGTTAGCAAGCTGGTTGCAACTTCTGTTGCTGGTAAGTATCGAACCGAGCTAGCCTCTAGGCTAGCTACCACTCCACCGAAAAGTATAGATGAGCATTGGTTTGCGAAACGTCCCGCTTTTAAGCACTGGGTTTCTCCAGGTTCCTTACAACTCATTGAAGCCCGTCGGTCTTCTCCGGGTGACCGTGAGTTTGACCATAAACGAAGGATGTTACGTAAGGAAATTGGGCAAAGCTTGCGTAAGGACCGAGAAGCCTGGTGGTCGATGCGTGCTAATGAGCTGGAAGCAGCAGCTGCATCTGGTAACTACCGGAAGCTCATCCGAGCCACTGGCAGCAAGAAGTGTGGTGTGAGTGAAACAATCTGTGAGGATGATGGGATGCCAATCACTAACATCCATCGACGTCTTGGACGATGGGCAGAATTTTTCGAAGGGCAGTTCAACTGGCCTGCTGCTCCGGCAACATCGGTCAGACTGTCCTGCCCTCCATGGCCGGTGACGACTGATCCACCAAATCACCTGGCCCAGATGACTTACCTCCGGCTCTTTTTAAAGATGGTGGTGACTTTTTGACTAAGGAATTGACGACGTTGTTTACAAAGTTTTGGGAACTAGAGAGTGTACCAACGTCATGGAATGAGTCGATAGTTGTCCCTATCTTTAAAAAGGGTTCACGTCGTTCTTGTAACAACTATCGGGGGATAAGTTTACTTCCGATTGCGTCCAAGCTATTGGCTTCCGTCATTCTTCGTAGACTGTTCAAAACCCGAAAAAGATTGACTCGCGAGGAGCAGGCTGGGTTTCGTTCTGGTCGAGGATGTATTGATCATATCTTCACACTCCACCAAATGTTAGAACACCGTCATACTTTTCAAAGGCCAACAATCGTAGTGTTTCTTGACATCAGGGCTGCCTTCGATTCGTTGGATAGGACTGTTCTCTGGGATTGTCTATTGAAGAAGGGTGTGCCTGAGAAGTTTATTAACATCCTAAAAGCCCTATATACAAACACCTCAGGTAGAGTGAGGGCATACAACCACCTCTCTCCATTGTTCCATTCGAGCAGTGGGGTTAGACAGGGTTGCCCAATCTCACCATTCCTCTTCAACTTTGCCATCGATGACATTCTGGAAACAGCTCTGATGGATGTAAGTAATGGTGGTGTGGATCTGTTGCCTGGAGAAAGACTTCTCGACCTTGAGTATGCGGACGATATTGTCTTACTGTGCGATAATGCCCAAGCCATGTAATCCGCACTTAATCAGTCGGCAATCAGTGTCCGTAGGTATGGTATGTGCTTTGCACCTTCGAAGTGCAAAGTACTTCTACAAGACTGGCAGGATTCTAATCCTGTACTCACCCTGGATGGTGAGCAGATAGACGTAGTCGAGAAGTTCGTGTATCTGGGTAGCTGCGTAAGTGCTGGTGGGGGTGTGAGTGATGAGATCAGTGCACGTATCGTGAAAGCCAGAGCGGCTTATGCCAATGTGGGCCCCTTTGGCGCCTTCGTAATGTTAGTCTGGCTGTAAAAGGCCGGATCTACAACGCGTCGGTGAGAGCAGTTTTGCTCTATGCTTGTGAAACCTGGCCTCTCCGAGTTGAGGACGTTAGACGACTCTCTGTGTTCGATCATCGCTGTCTCCGAAGGATTGCTGACATTCAGTGGCAACACCATGTCAGTAATGCAGAGGTTCGGCATCGTGTGTTCGGGCACAGAGATGATAACTCAATTGGTGTCACCATCTTGAAACACCGACTTCGGTGGCTTGGACATGTTCTCCGAATGTCGTCCCAGAGAATTCCACGTCGTGCATTATTTGCCGACTCTGGGACTGGTTGGAAGAAGCGGAGAGGTGGTCAGTGCATGACATGGTGTCGTGGCATGAAAGAAAGCTGCAAAGGACTGGCTTGTGTTGGTCCTTCACGACTCCCTGGTTGGGGTCCGAGAGATGGTGCAACACAGTGGCTAGAGACGTTATCAGATATGGCTCAGAATAGAAGCCAGTGGCGATCCTGCTGTAACCTTCTTTTACTTTCTTCATAAAAAGTGGTTGTATCTTCCTTAACTGAAAGATTTCTTCTGATTGTACCTTTTCGTTCCGTCGTTACTATCACACTACCTTACTCCAATCTCTTCGTCATTGTTCTCTTTTTCTTTTGCGTTCCTTAGTTTTTATTTTTTCTACTTCTCTTCGTATTCTCATTAGTTTGCGTGGCGCATATATATTGGCGCTCTCTTGTACCAATATTTATGTGTTCAAATAAATAAATAAATAAATACTGACCTCGAAGATGGACGTCTACTGAATCTTTCATCCAGTTCAGCAATACTTGAAAACCTTTCCCAGTAATGATAACAGTGTGATGCCTCTGTTGATCTCACATTTGCTCAGATCTCCTTTTTTGGTGTATTAATGAGGTATCTTTCTTTCTAATCTGTCGGCACTTGTTCTTCTCAAATCTTCTTGAATAGAACGTGGAGCATGTTTGCAGTTGCTTCTCTGTCTGATTGTAGTGCTTCAGGTAGTATTTTGTCATGTTCTACTGCTTTTCCACTCTTGATTTGTCTGATAACCATTGTGATGTGTTCGATTGTTGATGGAATGATATCTATAGCTGGATCCGATGGAGCTGGCTTATTTGAGAGTTCTTGACAGTGTTCTACCCATCTGTTCCTCTGTCCTTGAATCTCAGTGATTGACTTGCCTTCTTTGTCCTACACTGGTCTCTCTGGTTTACTATGTTTCCCTACCAGTTCCTCCGTTGCGTCATATAGTTGTTTGACATTTCCTTCTATTGCAGTTTTTTCCACTGTGACTGTTATGTCTTCCGATGTTTGGGTCTCCCATCAGGATGGTCGAGTCTTTTGCTGAGCACTTCGCTATGATCTATTGCAGCCTGTCGTAAAACTAGTCTTCGTCGTTTTCATTGCCATCATTGATGAGTGCACAACATTGGAGAACATTCATTGTGATTTGATCCTTCTTTGTTTTGAAGGGTGCTTTGATGATCTTGGTTTCATGAGATTCCCATCCTATAAGTGCCTAACATGTTTGTTTGGAGAGCATCTTAGCCACTTGCTGAGTGTGTGGATCATTTTCTTGTTCGTGACCAGAGTACGAAAGCATATTTCCTGAATCTAATCTTTTCTGTTCAGTTTGTGTTCAATGGGTTTCACTTATTCCGAGAACTGACGAGTTGTATCTCTTCCTCTTCGTATCTAGTTGATTGGTTCTCTCATTTACGTAAATTGCCCGAACATTCCATGTTCCTATATAAATTGTTGCTGTGGTTGTTAGAAGGGGCATGGGCTTTGTGACTTCCGATCAATCACGGCTTTCACCATAAGGCGTTTTATCTCTTTTAAATGAAGGTCCTTCAGCTCACAGGGCAGTGTTTTAATTAATTTTTATTTATTTATTCTGGTCAGCTTTTTTGTCAAGATTGATTTCTACTGAATGGTTTTACTGCAGTATTTTATACCTTAATACTAATTTGTATTCCATATTATTTTTGCATCATTCACAGGGAACTCAAATGTTGTTTACAATGGGTGGTGTTTTTTACGAGGTTTCTTCTATGGGTTCAAGTTCCACCAACTCAAGCTCACACGAAAAATCTGTTCGCAAAGTCCTTCGGTGTTTTACTAGAACTATGATACTGATCGCACCAGGTGGTCATATAGTGCAAGATGATTATATTGTGTCTAATCCAACTACCTCTTTGTGTAAGGTAAACGCTGCTTATTTAAATATCGTCGCATTTGTTCTTACGAAGAAATTTCCCATGTTATGCATATACTTGCAGCACTTTATAAGCCAAACTATGTGAAAACCTTTGGCTCGATGCACGTTTCAATAGATGTATAACAATAAATTATATATTATTAAAATGTTTAAAACCACAATAAGGTATTATAGTGAAATTGCTGATCTAAATCGGTTGCAACTTTAACGCAGTAATCGATCAGTTACAGACTAATGCGTGATGTGTTCAACCCGTCACAACTCACACAATTGTTTACAACCCTTATACTATTTTTATACTATACTCACGGAATTCTGAAAACATCAAACGCCTAGGACTGATTTATATTCCATAACCATACGTAAACATGAAGCAAACTGATTATCAGCTTATCCTCTTCAATAGATAGGTTAATCTCATCTGGACCAGAATTTATACGAATCAATGAAAGCTAAGTGAGCTATTTATAGACGTGCCGAGATTTCGTTAGGCATTAACTAGGGATTCCCAAGGTAAATTATATAGTCAATACTCTGAACTGCTTCACTCACTATAGTTAATTCAGATATGAATCCAGACCAGATTTTAATCAATTCTTAAAACTCATAAATTCCTCCATAAATAAACAAAAAAAGTCTTAACCCTAGAGATATGTCCATGGAAAAAAAGAAATAGTCGACAGACACCAAATGTCTTTGGCTCATATTACTCCTTACAATAGTCTTTTTCTCAAATAGTAGTTTTTAAATAAAGTGTTTTTCGTAGGCTCACGTACCTAGTTATGCCGCATTATCTAAATCTATAGAGTCGTCTCTAATTAAATGGAAATGGGTTCAGTCGGATTTTGATGAGTAAGAATATGTTTCAGGAATGGTTGTGGAGTTAACATCTGGTCAGTTTACCAATAACGTGATTTGGAACTTGATTGGTTGTTCTAGATTTACTGTTCCCAGTCATTCCTTATCAAGTGAAATGATCATAGGTCAAGAGCAGTCAGATGAAATGACGTTCAACCCCTAAACTCTATATAACATCTCCATCAATCTAACTGAACAACTCAAATTAACCCTCTACGACTTGTTATTCTCTAACTCCTAGTTATACCTTTCTCTGCTTCGCTGAAAGTTGCTGTCTTATTCCAGTCATTTAGACCATAAGCATTCACAAAGTAGATAGAATCCATTTGAAGAGTTCTTTAAAATGTTCCACTCATCGTCTCACTCACTTAGTCATAACTTGAATCACTGTCCCATCTTTTTCTATACGAGTCCCACTAGTCTCTATCTTTTGAACTTTTCTGCTTGATGAAGTTAACTAAATTCATAGTGCTAAATATTGCCGCAGGCAAAATTACAGCAATTGTAAAGAAGCAGGACAAGAAAGAACATCGCGTAGTGCTGAATAATTATTAGTATCATTATTCTGCATGTTATAAAACTAGCGTCAGTGATAATAAATTGTTTTATTGTAGCTAGTTTAGTCGAAAATTGGATTATGAAAATGTTGAACACTACTAAGCTGTTTTGAAAATGAACGATCTCGTTCTTTAGTCTTAAATAACCCTATCAGATAAAAATAATAATGATGTCAATTTAAACTTCAAATAACTGCTTCCTAACTTGAAAACTTTATTTTAGAAATACATTACTGAAATGGCTACAAGATGCAAACAGGACAGTCAGGCCTCAAATCAACAGCAAAATGTTCTCAGCTCTGATCTTTCTGCACCTGAAGTAAAAGAAAATATGGTAATTGAATTTAGTCGGCGCACCGGTATGAACATTCCCTTTTCAAGACAGTGTCTAGAAGAGTATGAATGGAATGCTAATGCTGCACTAACTGCTTTCGAAACTATGAATTCAGCTGGCAAAATTCCACCCGAAGCGTTTTCTGTATAACCTTTGAACTAAAATTATAAAATTTCAACTTATGCAATGTATGTATGTTTGTGTGTATCTAGATGCACTCATATATTCTGACGTGTTACGATTCGTCATTAGCTAGGTTACTTGTAGAGCATATTCTATCATGTTTTTTATTTGAGCTGAGTGACTGTCTGTCAGAATGTTAGTCGTTGTTTGACTAAAATATTTTGTATGTATGTGTGTGTTTTGCTCGTTCTCCAGGCCCAAGAAAAAAATCTGTCGGAAAAATAATCTTTTGCTTTAAAATAATTGAAAAAAATATCACGAGGTTTAAAAAAAATATGCTGCTGTAATACAGCGGTCTACCCGGCAGTGATTAAGATTTCTAAAAACTGGGTCAAATGGTGAACTAGAGCAATGCTTGTTCTTTTTTGTTGTAGTCAAACATACAATAACTTTTGACATACTAGTTACTTGGTGAAAATAAAAATATGATGGTTAAATGTTCCAACGTAATCGAACTGTTGACTGATTGCTACACTGTTAGAATATTTATGTGCATCAGATTACACTTGCGTGCATGATATTTCAAAAATTGAATTTGGTAATTTATATTCTTCAAATGTTAGCTAATTTCTACTTGTATCATCATCATTATACACTAACTCTTAACTTATTGGTTTTAACGCTCTAGCTTTTTGTACAGTTTATGTTTTAAATGTTAAAGAAATCGAAAAAATGTTATATGACTGATATGGCCTTTCATTTATCAATAAGTTTGTCATAGAAAACTAGCAAATAATAAACAGTATAATTAATCAAGTTATTCCATAATCACAAAGGAGCGAGTGAAGTATCTCATTGCAGTTAAGGTGATGTCATAACAATCAGTGAGTAAAAACATGTTCGAAGTCACACAAGTAAAAAATCTAAGAAGAGGTAAAGAGAAACAATGAGGCTATACATTTGACTGTTAGTGATCCAAACATTACATTTTTGGGAGATCATTGCGTTATCGTCGGTTTTCGTTCTCCATATTATTGCATTATTGTGCTACATCACTACCGCAAACATTTTCACTAGATATATTTACGTTATTATCAGATTTTATATTTGTCTTTTCTACTGAGGTAGTTACTGCATTAACTTCCGTTGATAAATCTGCAACTCCTTCAGTATTAAGGCTGATCGTCGGTGTTGTACAGTCCTCAAATGGATGTGGCTGGTAATTTCTTTCCAAGTCTCTAAGTGACGGAAGAGAGTGACTTCGATGCATTCCATGCGTATGTAATTCAGATATATTTGTGTAGCAATCACTTTGAGAAAGCTCACTGTCATCGATACCTAGAGTTAAAAAGGATCTAGCTCGCTCGTGAATTTGTACGTCGAAAATTCCGCTAGCAAAGTCCAGCTCAAAATATGGGGAATCTTCAGTAGGATCGTTCGTTTGAATCGGCTCATCAGTACCAACTTGATTGTCTTCACTAATGTTCATCCCACTCACTGGAATTTTATCATTGTTTGTGGAACACCTAGGCTTGTTTTTCTGTAATGAGAATATTAAAGTATTTTAGATTGATAGTTGCCTATCTCTACAAACAGTATATACATCAGAAAATAATATATTTCGTATACATGTTTATATAGAATATGATTGAAAATTGTTACACTTAGTAGTCAACTAACTGGACACATATATGAACTTGGTCGAATACACCTCTGAGTCCACAATTCCATTCATGGTCTTTTTTGACTTTACTCAAGCACTGTTTATTTTTGTGGTGGTGGTTAAGGAAACGATGCTGTTATCGATGGCATTTAGTGACATCTCGTATAAAAATATGGTACTTAATCTCAGTATGTGATGCAGATTATTTTGGGTGTCCAGTTGTTCCAAATTGTTTGTGAAGTAAATAAAAACTTGGTGAGGATAGTGATCCTAAACTTACATGAATGATGATTAAACCGTACTGTCACTGACAATTAAGAAAGATTTGTCCATAATAGTCCAGTCTGTAAAAAGGTTAACCGGATACCATCTTACAAACAATTAAGTATAAATCCCACTGTCAGCTATATGTAATGTTGAATGTAAACTGAATATTTGTGATAGTGTTGAGGATATCCAATCACCGAATAAAAATTACGAAAATCGGAACTATGTTACCGTGAATTAGTCAGTATGATCACTGTTCATTGGACTTCAATGCATTTCTCACGATCGTTTGTGTTGGCGGTAAACAGGGTAAATATCTTTATTGATATGCAATCGACAAGTCTGATTGATTACATTGAGTCAACAAAGTGCCTCATCTGCCAAACATGTTTTTACCCTATTTAATGAGGTGAAAAAGGAAGGAGATAGTTTCGTTCACAGTAGCGAATTACCAGTACAGTGTACGAAAGTTCCAAACAGCGCGATTGCGATAACTAACCCAACAGGAATTATATCACCGCTCTGCGAACGGACATGGTTATGTACGCTACTTTACAGACATTCAACACAATCGACCACTTGTAAATGGAGTGTGCATGTATGCAATTTTTAAGTGTCAGTCATTTTAGTCAGTACAAAAGTAGCCTACAGAATTAGGATGACTCATTAGGGTTTTGTATATTTATCTAATATCTTATCCAGTACAACTATATTCAGTCCTGCCACATAAGTCCACAAAAAATTAGCTAATAAACCATTTACTCAGATTAGATTATCAGGGTCACAGCCTACATCAACAGATTTTAGTGTTCAAATTCATTACAGATTTATGAATGCTAATCAAAGTAAGATGCTAACTGACTGCGGTATTTATCTTTAGCTCTATGTGTAAATGCTAAGTTCAGAATAACGATTATAAATGTTTCCGTTCAGTTTTTTATCACCTGCAATACAAACTAAATATTCATTTGTTTTACTACCTCATATGTCTTCGATTTACTGTGGTGATTTTTATCACCTTCCCAAGAGATATTTCAGGATGTTGAAACTGCATTCAATAATGACACGTTAAAATTTTACAGTTACAGCTACCACACAAAACCAGCCTGGATAACTATAATTTTTCGTTAATCAGTTTATGGTGTATTTCGGAACAACACTGGAACTTTTTTCTTATGGATAGAATCTACATGATTATAACCTAAATTTTAACAAACATGAATTCAGCAACAATTACTTTCAAATATAGGACTCTATTACCATGGGAGATAATGTGGGATTCGAACTAACAAAATCATGATTGAAAGTGAAGTGCCTAGATAAATGAGGGTACAATAAATGTCTATAAGTTAGAAAAATATATTTGGTAGTTTGTTATGTGAATACTTACCTCGTCAGTTTGATATTGCTTAGTATTGTATCCGCTACTGTATGAACCTCGTATTTTATTATTTGAACGAACTGGCTCTTTCCTAGATGAATTATATAATTGTGTGTAATGAGCATTCGAATAATTCTTTTGAGGTTGTTTATGATGACGTGGATAATAACGATTATTGGGAGGATTGTAGTAATGATGATTTGGTCGGTGTTGATGTTGATAATGATGATGTAGAGAGCGTGGTTGTTTCTGAAATTCATTAATAAAAGAACGACAATTAAAAGGGATCTTTTTTAATTTATCATATTTTTTTGACGAATCAGAAACTAATAACAATAAATCATCTGATTGCCATTTAGATAATGGTACAGATAATATTGGATCAGGTAGAATAGGCCGATCTACAATGAAATTCTGTGCATATCATATACAATTTGTGTATAAGATATCATGATTAAAGTAGAAAGAGATTGATAAAAAAAGAAATAGAAGAAGGAGAGATGTCAGTAATGTGTTATGAAATAAAACATAATTAAATCATAATTTATAGATCGAGTGAATATAATCCACAACAGGAAAATATTTTAAAAAATTTGATAAGCGCACATAAATGAGCATGGAATCATTATTACACAGAGTAGCAATCATCCATTACAGAACAAATGCAACAACGAATAATAGCATGGATTCATTCATATTGTGTATCGGATACAAGCAGAACAATCAAATATGCATAGATTATATTGCGTTTATGCATAAGATCAGAAATATATTACCCATTATATATGTATATACATATATAGAAATGGAGTCCAAAACGATGAATATGAGTGAACATCGGCACAAGGATTTGTTAAAAGAAAGGGAAAAAAGACACAAGTTTTTTATTCAGTAAATGAAATTACGTGTGCCTTGAGATCAGTGAAATGAACCAAACTCAGTTGTTGTAAATATAGATTAAACTATTTAGATTTATTTTTCATGTGATGTTTTGTTTTAGCTTTATAGAAATATAATAGATGCGCTTCTCTGACTACACTATAATTTTTAGTCAACTTACACAAACTGGATTCAGAAATGCATAAGTTCTTTTAGTTTAAAATGCACAATCATTATTCGAGGTATTTTCGAGAACTATTTTACGAACAGCTTAAACTTCCCATGTTCCGCGATGCTAGTCATGAACATTATGAATTAAATATCACTGAATAGTCCATGATAGTGTACTTTGATATTCCTTGCTATTTACTTCTTATATCGATTATATTCGTATTTACAACAAGGAAGTCACTGTCAAGCATCAGTTAATAGCTCATAAAGAATTAAGGCTGATTTTCGAAGTGAGATAAAATAAATCACTAGATCATGCCTCTATAGCAAACTAGTTAGACATGGAGAAATTATATTCAGAGGTCATTTGAAGTGACAGTAATTTTGAGCACTTCTTTAAGTTGGGGTAAAGGAATCACAAGAAGGTTACGCGATCTTTATTACTTGAAAGATAGGAAAGGTTTAGTATTTTGATATCAGAAAAATGACGGATTGTTGATGAAAATTAAAATTATTCATGATGAATTTCCTTTATCTCTAAGTGACTAGTTTTCATATACTTAAAACGACAAGTGATATTTTCTGAGTACCTGGATCCTGAGTAAAATATAGTCGAATGATGTACATGATAAATATTACTTCCCTTAAATGTATGGTATTATATAAGTTCTAGTCAAATGAACGCCTATTGACATACATTGATACCGTTCAGAATGTTGAAATAGATTAAATAGGAGTTAAATTACGCAAAGACATCGAATACTTAATCTCTATTCGGTAATAATTAATTAAAATTCCATGTTCATTAAAGTGTTGTTGCTATGCTCTGAATAAAGACGAAACAGATGTTCAACGCTCGTTTATTTTCGATCGTTCTGGAGCCGTGTCAGTTTTTAACGAAAAGCATTTTCAACTTTATCGAGAAATCCCCTAATAAACAATTTGATTTATTATAAAATCTATGAATACATTTCAAGTGTTGAATATAATACAGATATAATATTTACAGATAACCATTTTGAAAGGTTAACAAAGAATCCATAAATAAACTAGAGATATCATGTAAGATGAGATGCTAAATGATTCTTCACTGGTTTCATTTTTTTATATTAAGAAAGGTATAATAGGAGATGAGTAAAATAGCTTATTATGTATAAAATTATATAGTATAATTATCTGATATTTACCCGTAATCAGAACGAGGCAATAGTTGTAAAACGTTTGGATAAAATCGTAAATCCCTTAGTGAAAATATTTAGTTAACGAACGGTTAAATGAACAATTTATCAAACGATGTGAATAAGTTAATTAAAATTAATGTGTCTTTGTTCCCAAGAGAAACTAAAGATTCTTTGATAATCTAATAATTTGACATTCGAAACAATAAAAAGTAAAAATTAAACATACGAGAAAATTAAACTAGGAAAGGATGTTAAAATCAGATAGTGGTTGGAGGCAGTCAACAGGAAACCCTGGACCCGGGTTTCGTGCTACTTGGCACTCGTCAGCAAGGTGTACCTGTAATCTTGAGGGAACTAGTGCTCCCTGGCGGATTCAATCTCGTATCACCCAGCTTCACAGTCAGAGACGTTACCACTGAGCTATCCGAGTCGCGACTAACCTCCTGTAGGACTGAGATGTAATCACAATTGATTGATCACTGGGTGGTGGAGCACCAGTTCCCTCAAGATTACAGGTACACCTTGCTGACGAGTGCCAAGTAGCACGAAACCCGGGTCCAGGGTTTCCTCTTGACTACCTCCAACCACCATCTAAATCTCAATATATAGTGCCCGCAGTGTTGAGTCACCTAGACTGGTGGCCACATTGCAACATGATCGATAGCATTCGATCTACATTAATAAGGACTAGACAAGCATGACATTGATCACCACCCAGTGATCAGTCAATTGTGATGCTAAAATCACTAATAAGTCAAACATTTGGCCATATCTAATTGGTTTTCAGGTTTAAAAACGACATTATAGCTAGTATGTAGACTATTTGTGTCAATATTTGGTCTAAATTATTCTAAACATTTAATTTATTTTGAAGAAACCACACTAGAACGTTCTCTTCCATAAATATTGAAAGTAATCCATGAATGGAAATGAAATGTCTTACACCATGGGAGCAAGGGAGTCAGCGGAAAATGAAACTATCCTCATAAAAAGATTTATCTTTCAGATGTTTAGATGTATAGGGTTGACAACATTTTCACGTTAAATGGTTAAAGGTACTCGGCAACACTAATCAACAAGATACATCTGCAATTTTATAGGAAATGATATTTCTTTGTGGAATACCAACCGGTGTTATACAAAACGGTGACCATATGTATTAAATGTGAAGTGATCAAGCCTCAACCGACTGAGTATTTTAGAAAAAAAATCTGTTAAATATGAAGTAATTTACAGGTTAATAACCATTTGTCTAGATTGTTTCTATGAATTTTGGTGATCTATTTAAATGAGATAACAACAACTCCCCCATTACTTTATAATATATCACCTAAAAATAGTTCGTTTTCTGAGTAGTTGAGAAAAATATTCTAAAAGTGACCTTGTGTAACATCTTCAACTAAAACCCGACATAGTAATGTCTCGTATAAGACTTGATTTTTCTCCGCTAATCAGTTACTATAAAGTAAGGATTAAAATGTTGGTTGGTCCTTGATTTTGATCAAGTTCTATGGATCAATTTCATAACATGAAAGGTAGGTTACATAATTCGATATAGTGATGAACTTTTTTCGAATTAAACTACTCGAAACTCAAAATCTAGGTTTCATGTCTTATTAAACTTATTAGTAAACTTGATTTAGTAAATTGAGGAAAATGATATTCCTTTAAAAATAAAAACCTAGATTTTTGTATTTAGATTTTTATATTTTAACTAATTGAAGTTGAATTCGTTTGATTATATTACAATAAAATAAAAAGTAAACATATTATCCTGAAGAGGCTTCGCTAATTTTGTTATGATGTTGTTCAACTCATAACTAATCGATTGATAAGAGTGATGTTTTAACTTTTATCAAGTAATTTCCATCGACGACCTAAGTAATATGATTTGATAAATACTTTATTAACATTATGAAAATAAAACTGTAAATAGTTATAACATTGTATTCATCTTGTATTTTTATAAATAAAATCATGATTAACATCATTGTACTCTTAATCAGATAGTCACTCATTTTTACAAATACTACGTGATGTCAAAGAAAATAGGTTACTCATAGTTCTAAAAAAACACATGACTAAGACAATTTATGGAAATATGATCAAATATAGTGTAGCTGAAAATTTCACAATTACAATCGTTGATAGATGAAATTAGACATTTTGTAAAGTAGTTCATTCAAAAATTTATAAATTGACATGTTTATAGTGTGAATAAATGTTTTTAAAATGAACTTGAGCATGTCAATTGATAGCCGCGTAGAGATTAAAAGTTATATATATATATATATATATATATATATATATATATATATATATATATATATATATATATATATATATATATAGATATATCATTAACTTACATCCATATTGATTTCTAGTTTGTACTTCGCAATATCCTCTGGTGTTAAATCATCAATATATTCATCACCAGAATGATGACGAATTTTAGAATCTCCTGAGAAAAGGAAAGAAAAAAAATGAAAAATAAGCAAATTGTGCACATCAGTCAGTCAGCCGAATTATTTATTGATTAAATTATGGTTTAATAGTTTATGTACTAAATTTCATTACATGTATCTCCTTCTAAATTCACAAAGCCAAAGTCCCTTCTAACAACCACAGCAACAATTTATATAGGAACATGGAATGTTCGGGCAATTTATGTAAATGGGAGAACCAATCAACTAGATACGAAGAGGAAGAGATACAACTCGTCAGTTCTCGGAATAAGTGAAACCCATTGAACACAAACTGAACAGAAAAGATTAGATTCAGGAAATATGCTTTCGTACTCTGGTCACGAACAAGAAAATGATCCACACACTCAGCAAGTGGCTAAGATGCTCTCCAAACAAACATGTTAGGCACTTATAGGATGGGAATCTCATGAAACCAAGATCATCAAAGCACCCTTCAAAACAAAGAAGGATCAAATCACAATGAATGTTCTCCAATGTTGTGCACTCATCAATGATGGCAATGAAAACGACGAAGACCAGTTTTACGAGAGGCTGCAATAAATCAAAGCGAAGTGCTCAGCAAAAGACTCGACCATCCTGATGGGAGAACCAAACATCGGAAGACCTAACAGTAACAACGGAAAAACTGCAATAGAAGGAAATGTCAAACAACTATATGACGCAACGGAGGAACTGGTAGGGAAACATAGTAAACCAGAGAGACCAGTGTAGGACAAAGAAGGCAAGTCAATCACTGAGATTCAAGGACAGAGGAACAGATGGGTAGAACACTGTCAAGAACTCTCAAATAAGCCAGCTCCATCGGATCCAGCTATAGATATCATTCCATCAACAATCGAACACATCACAATGGTCATCAGAAAAATCAAGAGTGGAAAAGCAGTAGAACATGACAAAATACTACCTGAAGCACTACAATCAGACAGAGAAGCAACTGCAAACATACTCCACGTTCTATTCAAGAAGATTTGGGAGGAAGAACAAGTGCCAACAGACTGAAAAGAAAGATACCTCATTATTACACCAAAAAAGGAGATCTGAGCAAATGTGAGATCTACAGAGACATCACACTGTTATCATTACTGGGAAAAGTTTTCAAGTATTGCTGATCTGGATGAAAGATTCAGTAGACGTCCATCTTCGAGATCAGTAGGCTGGATTCCACATGAATGGCATTCATCAATATACATCAACTTCATTAACTAAGAGAAGGAGTTTGGTAGTGTGGAGAGGAGGACGTTGTGGAACCTTCTCCCACACTATGGTGTGCCTGAGAAGATTGCCAGCACTATACGAAATTCATACGACAGATGACACTGCAAAGTCATGCATGTAGAACAGCTGACAGACTTATTCCAAGTGAGGACCAGAGACAGACAAGACTGCCTACTCTTCCCCTTCTTCATTCTACTAGTGATTAACTGGATTATGAAGACCTCCACATCTCAAAATAAGCACGGAATACAATGGACAGCTTGCATGTAACTAGACGATTCGGACTTCACAGATGACATAGTCCTTCCATCCCATACACACAAACAAATGAAGGTCAAGACAACCAGTGTAATGGAAGCCTCTGCATCAGTAGGTCTCAACATACACAAGGGAAAAAGCAACATCCTCAAATACAACTCGAAGAACACCAATCCAATCACACTTGATGGAGAAACTCTGGAATAGGTAGAATCTTACATGTAACTGGTCAGCAGCATCGTCGATGAACAAGGAGGATCCGATTCAGATGTAAACGAAACGATCGGCAAAACAAGGACAGCATTCATACAGTTGAATAACATGTGGAACTCAAAACGACTATCAGCCAACATCGAAGTCGGAATCTTCAATACGAACGTCAAGACAGTTCTACTATTCAGAGCTTCATCTTCCAGAACTACCACAACCATCATCAAAGATGTACAAGTATTTACAAACAATTGTCTACACAACATACTCAATGTCCGTTGGTCGGATACTATCAGCAACAACCTACTGTGGAGAGAATAAACCAACTTCTATCTGAAGAGGAAATTGGGGAAAGACCTTAGAAGTGGATAGGATATACATTGGGGAAGTCATCAAACTTCATCACGAAGCAAGTACTATCTAGCAATCCTGAAGGAAAACAGAAAAGAGGAAGACCGAAGAACACACTGTGTCGAGAATTGGAAGTCTACATCAAAAGGATGAGTAGGAACGGGAAGGGATTGTCCAGGACAGAGTTCTATGGAGAATGCTGGTGGGCAGCCTATGCTACTCGACGAGGGGTAACAGGTGTAAGTAGTTAAGTCTACTGTGTTTTCGTGTTAAATTCACTACGATACTAGGTTGAGAAAATGAGTGATATAACTATACAAGATTGATGGATTATGGGTAGCAATAAGATCCGCGATGAGAGTTTTGCCCACTTATGATTTCGTTGTTCACCTGAACCACAGTGTTGATGTTCACGCTGATATTTAATCTATACAAAATGAGTTAGTGAAATGAACTATTTCATAAAAAGTGAATTATTATTTACATCACTTCATAGAAATGAAACACAAACACTTGACAAAGTGAATATCAGTACACTATCCATAGTTGCATATTTTCACTTAATTGGAAAGCTAAAAGATCGGATCAAAACAAAACATATCATAGATCCGGGAATTCAAATGCAACAAACAATGAAATTATCGCGTTAGACTTATGTTCCACTTTTACTGAAAAAAAAATAACAATCAGTAATTTCAAACGTAACCAGATATAGCCTTAGTTAACGGTTGATAAGCTTGTAACTAATTTATTTTACTCACCAATCAATAAAATTTTTTGTTTTGACAGCATGACTAGATTCAAGTACTAAAAGCCCAATAAATCATTATGGTAGATTTTGATAATAAAAAAGGGCATTAATTTAAAAAAAGGCCATATACAAATTCACTATATTCGTATCTGGAGTAAGAAGATTTACAATATATTAATGAATTATGAAAGTCTCATTTTATTAAAGTGCTTATAACCCATATTCTACAAACAACATTATACTGATTGTATAATAAAAATTTAAATATTGATTAATAAGTGAACTATTTGAGTGAAACAATGAAAATTGAACATATGATAATGATACATTGAGTACATTTTTTTCATCAATTACTTATGAATGGAATAGTTTATTGTCATTGTAATAAACAATATATAACTGTCAGTAATTAATAACAGTTGAAGTGAGAACAAGAGTGTAAGTAACTTGGTTGCAAATAAGAACAGTCATTCTAAAGAGATATATTCTAAAGAAAATTAATTACTAAAATAAATTATTATTCAAAAGTACCATTAGAAAACAATCGTAAATCGAAATTCTTAGTTATCAATGGAATATTGGTTAAACAATCATACGAAGTAGAAACTTAGTTACGTAGTGAACGAGAACATAAGTGGGGACAATCGAATATATGTGAATACAAAATTACGGAATATCTTAGTAAGATTTGAGAACCACACAGCAAATACTTTATTTTCAAAATGTCAATCAGTCGTCTCAGACTTCATTGTCTCTTCATTTCTACACCAATCATTCCTTATTCTTAATCTTCTACCTCTGGTCATTTCACATTCTATTGATGATACATACTACTTATATCTGTCGACATCAGTAACACACATCACAGTTATTCCTGATTTTAAATAAATAACAGCTTCTTCATCATTAACTGTGTTTACTCAATAAATCCAACCTGATCCAACTTTTGTAATACAGGTCTAATAGATGGTCTAAAGTCAAAATCAATCTTTAAATCATACAAATCGTACTGTTGTTTAAGTTATATTCTAAGGTTCTATTATACGCAACAGTGAAACTATTGCAATACTTAACGAAGGTTACTTCAAAATCCTTACTTCATAAATTTGTTACAGAGTTTTAAAACAAATCGTCTTTGTAATTAAAAAACTGAAATGAAAGTGATGTGTTTCTATCAGTAAACCGGTAATATGCTCTCATTCGAATGCGACACATTTTCCAAATATTTTTAGAGCAGAAATATTGGTCTGTCACTAAATATATTCGAACCACTTTAAAACCCTCCTACCTAATAGAAATCGCATTTTTTCCACACCGGTTAAACTCTTTTTAAACTGTAACTAAAGCAAACTGTCGAAACTTCCCACTTCTATGAAAGGCTCTAACTGAACATGTGTACAGGGTTTCACGTTTCTTAATGAATTAACCAACATACGTCAATGGCTGATAACCAATACTACTAATTATATTTATGTGTGTCACTTTTACAATACATATACAAAACAAATTCGCTAGTTTCGCGAATAGTCATAAATCATTAGGATGATTTTTATGCTACACATAAGGATGTACAGGAAGTTAGAAATCAGAAAAATAGAAAGTCCACTTTTCCACAAGGCTTTGTGTATACAGTAGCTTGGCACTGTTTCGATAAGTGATTCCTTTTTACCTGAAATGACAAAATACCATTTAACTGTCCATTAAACTACAAAACGAGCACCATAAAAATTTAGTATGTGAAACAAATATAAACAGCAATGTTGACGTTATTTCAGAAGATAACTTCAGTCAACAAAGGACGAATTTAAAATTTATGAATAAAATCCAATTGTCACTCATCCCAAGAATTAATTAGTAAGTTAATCATAGTCATTGTAAGTTCTGCTTCGATTGGATATCGGCCTAAGCTCCCATGATTCAGATCAATATATTTAGGAGGAAAATCAACAAAATGAAAAGCTAAGGAGAATACATTTCCGCTATAGCTGATATTATTTAAACATCAGTAATACAGCTAAAATGACTATGAAATAATTACTAGAGCCTATCCCGCCAGATAACTTCATGGTTAACTAAGGAAAACAAAAAACAAAAACATGAAGTCCAGAACACAACATTCTATCCTAGGTATTTATATAGTACCTTTATTATTTGTGATGATATTAATTATAAATAAGAACTTTCGTCTAA